AGGCCATATCATCGTCATAAGCTTCGTCCAACTTCTTTTGTTCATCTTCAGACTGGCTCCACTAGACGATCAGGCAAGGCTGGACAAGGTAGCTCACCACTAAGAAACTCCCAAAGCCGGAGACCACGCATATGCCACCACATATGTGGAACCCAGTCACGATAATTTGTGCCATTGAAAATCACTGGACATCGTGGGATTTGAGCACCACCCGAGGGAGGAACAGGAGGAGATGCCATCTCTGTTTTTTTTTACCCAAACTCATAGAACAGAGCACACACTCACAAAACAGAGCACGTAGCGCGTGCGACCGCAGGATGAGCAGCGAGCGGACGCGAGCGACTGGAGGAGGCACCGCACCAAGCAGCGCCCGCCGGCGGACCACGCTTAGCAGCAGGGGCACGCCGGTGGCGACCACGCTGGGCTTGCGGGCCAATGGGCCCTGCACGCGACGGGGGGTGCAAGAACGGCGAGGGTCAAGACTGGCGGCGGGCCACACCCAAAGAAGCAGGCTTGCGCGAATGGCGCAGAAGAAGAGCGACTGTAGAAGAGTCATAGACAGAGGAGTGCGACAGCGGCCGCGACGGACGAGCACGGCGGCGGAGCAGCAGAAGAGCGCGACGGACGAGCACGCTAGGGAAGGAGCGAGGTAAACCCTAACCCTAGAACCTAGGCTTTGATACCATGTTAGAGTGGACTGCACTACCCACATGAACCCAAAAGCTTAAGCCTTTGGGAAGAGGTAGGCAATCCACTTATACACTTCAACAGGGGCAAGTGGAGGCCTTGCAGTTTTTTGGAGGAAACATCTCGACCTCACAGTCAAGAGCATGTCTAAATATCACATAGACATGGTAATAAAGGAGGAAGATGGTTTTGAATGGACGTTCTCGGGGATTTATGGAGAATCAAGGAAGGAGGAGAAGGAGAATACTTGGGATACACTCTGAACTTTACATGGGCGCCTTTCTTTACCATGGGTTTGCGCGGGCGAATTCAATGAGGTCCTTTTTGCTCATGAGAAGGAGGGGGGCATCGAGGGAGGAGGCAGCCATGGAGAATTTTAGGATGGCTTTGGAAGATTGCGACCTTCATGATCTAGGCTGTGTGGAGGATCTGTTCACTTGGCGCAACAATCATCACAATGCGGGGAGCTACACTAGAGAGCGGTTGGATCGGGCCCTTGCTAACACGGCCTGGAGATGCAAATTTCCTCTAGTCCGGGTTATAAACGGTGATCCACGGCACTCAGACCATAGACCCGTGATTGTGGAGGTGGGCGAAAGGGAGTTGCGGAGGTGGGATGGTCCAAGGGAGGTGCTGAGATGTTTTGAAGCTCGGTGGCTGGAGGAGGAGGATCGTGCAGCTAAGGTGGAGGCGGCTTGGAGTTCGGCCCTGCTGGACGGCACCACCACCCTTTTGGAGTTGCAAAGCCAGGTTCTGGGGGAGCTATGGGAGTGGGACCGGTCGGTGTTGGGAGAGCTGGAGAAGAGGGTGAAAAATGCTAGGAGGGAACTAAAAAAATGCAGGAGGCAGGGGATCTCTCAGGAGAATGTAAGTCGGGAGCATGTACTGCAATATAAATTAGAAAGAGTGGAGGATCAGCTTCATGTGTTCTGGAAACAACGTGCTCATAATTCTTGGCTGCTACAAGGCGATCAGAATACTAAATTTTTCCATTCCTGTGCATCAGGGAGGAGGAAAAATGGGGTGAAACGCCTAGTTGAGGAGGGGGGGTGGTGTTGTGGAGGGAGATAGACTCAAATCTTACATAGCTAATCAATACCAAGCTCTATTTTTAACACAGGCTGGAGGAGAGGTTGATGAGGTGACCAGCTGTGTTCAGCCGCGTGTTACACGCGTGCTGAATGAATTGCTAATGGCCCCATATTCAGGAGATGAGGTGTGGAAGGCACTGGACAGCATTGGAGACCTCAAAGCCCCTGGGGTGGACGGCATTCCGGCTGTTTTTTACAAGAGGTTCTGGGGTCTAATTGCAGATCGGGTGAAAGGGGAAGTGCTGGCTATTCTGAATGGAGGGGAAATGCCACCTGGAAGGGCAGGCCTAGTGCAGTGGTGAGAGCTGTCTCACTGAGTCACCAGGTCGCGGGTTCGAAGCAGCCTCTCCGCAGATTTTGCGGGGGGAAGGCTTGCCTCGGTTTTTCCCTTCCCCAGACCCCACTCATGTGGGAGCCTCTGGCACTGGGTCTGCCCCCCCCCCTTTTTATTCCCAAGGTCGATAAACCAGAAAAACTCAAAGAGCTTAGACTGATCAGTTTGTGAACCGTCCTGTATATGCTTATCTCCAAAGTGATTGCTAACAGGCTGAAAGTGGTGCTGCCAGAGGTTATTTCTCATTCTCAAAGTGCCTTTGTCCCCGGGCGGCTGATAACTGACAATGTCTTATTGGCATGAGTTAACACACTATCTGAAAAACAAGAGGAGCGGGTCAAATGGGGTGGCAGCAATTAAGCTAGATATGAGCAAGGCCTACGACCGAGTCGAGTGGGGCTTTTTGCATAGTATGATGATCAAGTTGGGCTTCAGACAACAGTGGGCTGATTTGGTGATGAGATGTGTCTCAACGGTGAACTACCGTATCAAAGTCAACGGTGAGTACACAGAGATGATTATACCACAGCGGGGGCTTCGACAGGGGGACCCCTATCTCCCTATCTCTTTATCATTTGTGCAGAGGGGCTGTCCGCTATGTTGGAAAAGGATGAGACTGACCGAAAAATTGTGGGTATCAAGGTGTGTCGTGCTGCTTCAAGTGTCAACCATCTCTTTTTTGTGGACCATTCGCTAATCTTAATGAGAGCGCGAAATGAGGAAGCACAGGAGCTGAAGAGAATTCTGGGGATTTATGAGAGGGTGTCTGGACAAATGATTAACAAGGACAAATCATCTATTTTGTTCAGTCCTAACACAACAAGAGCAGTGAGGGTCCAAATGAAAGCCACCCTCTCGATCTCACAAGAGAAATGGGGAGAAAGGTACGTGGGGCTTCCGGTCTCCATTGGGATATCAAAGAAGACCTTTGCATATATCAAACAAAGGATCTGGTGCCATGTACAGGGTTGGCAGGAAAAAATGCTTTTGAAGGCTGGAAAAGAAATTTTAGTTAAGGCTGCGGCCCAGGCCATCCCAACCTATGCCATGTCCTGTTTTGACATAACCAAGACCCTGTGCGATGAAATTAGTGCAATGGTGGGCAGGTACTGGTGGAGTCAGCAAGACAAGACACATAAAATTCATTGGCTCAGCTGGGAGAAATTGACTCGATCAAAAAAGATGGGGGGCCTGGGGTTCAGAGACTTACACCTGTTTAACCTAGCTATGCTGGCCAGACAGGCATGGAGGCTGCTGACCAACCCGGACAATCTTTGTGGCAGGGTGCTGAAAGCAAAATATTTCCCTCACAACAGCGCATCTTGGAGTGCCAAGCTAAAGGGGGCATCTCATATTCGTGGAGGAGTATCTTACAGGGGTTGATCTTCTGAAGAAGGGCCTGATTTGGCGGGTGGGTGATGGGAGACAAATTAATATTTGGGCCGGCCCCTGGATTCCCCGGGGAGCAACCCGACGGCCGGCCACCCCAAGGGGGGCTTCCTTGCTGACAAGAGTGGATGAGCTCATTGATCCGAACACTGGTGGTTGGGATGAACAACTGGTACGTGACACATTCTGGGATGATGATGCTGAGACTATTTTGACAATCCCAATTGGAGAAGGCATGCCGGATTGGCCAGCTTGGCACTTCGATTCAAAGGGCCTTTTCTCTGTTAAATCGGCATACAAGCTGGCTGTACAAACCAGAGATAGCGAGATTGGGCGGACAGCTGGGACGCCTGCGGAGGGGGGTTCAGTGCATACTCAATTCCCTTGGCACAAAATATGGCAGCTGAAAGTGCCAAACAAGGTCCAAATGTTTTTTTGGCGATTTGTCCACAACAGCTTGCCAGTTCGGAATAATCTGAAAAGAAGGAAAGTCAAAACTGAAACTCTATGTCCTATGTGCAACAGACTTGACGAAGATTGTGGCCACCTATTTTTTAAATGTAAGAGGGCCCAGGAGTGCTGGAGGTCCATGGACTTAGAGGAAGTGCGGTGCAGCTTAGCGAGGTGCAGCTCGGGAAAGGAAGTAGCACTAAAGATATGGGCAATGCAACTGGATCTCCAACTCAAAATTGTGGTTTGGCTGTGGAGATGGTGGATGGCTAGGAACAAAGCTAATGCGGGAGAAAGGGTGCAAGCTGCTGGAGAAGTGGGCAACGCAGTCCAGTACCACCTGAATGAGTTTGCTAAATTGAAAGGCCCAAACAAGACACCAAGACGGGATGTGCAGCCAATGTGGGTGCCACCACAAGAAGAATACTACAAACTAAATGTTGATGCGGCATTCTCGACCCTCACAAGAAAGGGAGGATGGGGCTCTGTGGCAAGGGACAGCACAGCCTCCGTGCTAGACATTGGGGCGGGCTTCATCCAAAGGGCAGCGAGCGTTCTTCAAGATGAAGCTCTGGCAGCTTTCCATGGTCTGAGCAGAGCAGTGCAGCTGGGAATGACAAGGATTATCCTGGAGATGGACGCTTCAAACTTGGGCAAGGCTTTAACAACAGATCAGATGGATGGTTGTCAGGAAGGTGCCCTTTTTAGACAAATCCATGAAATGATGGCAAGCAACTTTGTTTCTTATTCCATCTCAATTTGTCCTAGAACCTGTAATAGGGTGGCCGATTGCATGGCCAACCATGGTGTAGCAGCCTATCCTGATGGAGGGCATGCGTTCTGGTGCCAGGCACCAAGCTTTGTAAAGCGATTTGCCGGGAGCCTGTGGTCTATAAAGCGCTTTGAGTTTCAAAAAAAAAAGTTGCACTGGGCAACTAATAATCCAGTATGTCACCACTAATGTCCATTCTATTTGGCGCTAATATGCTACTATATATGCCACAGGAAGAAGCTTCTGGTTTAGTACTACTGGCTGGTGATATGTAAGCCTAAATACTCATGTAAAGTGCAATTGGGCAGAATCCACAAACTATTTCATGAATAGCTCAGTCAATTTCATATCAGAAAATACTATTTTCAGAATCACAAACTATGTATCCACCATGCAAAACCTTAGGTGATAAGAGAGGATGAGGAGATAACCTTGGAGTGGATTTGGAGGCAACACTGGCCTTCTCACGATGACGGGAAAGAGTAGGTTCTCTCCAGGCATGTGTGGTTGCTTGCAAAACAAGCATCTCTTTGCGGCACACAATTTGCACATAATAAGGTTGCAGCAAGTATTAAAGTAGAAGCCGGCATTCTCAAAACAGCACATGCACTTGGGATCCACTTCATCTGAAACAATATTCTCCTTGCCCTGTAAAAGTCAGCACATGCATGCATAAGAATAAGAGAGTCAATTATTCAAATTAAAAATGCCTTGTTTGGCCTTACAAATTCAAAATTTTCTTATTTGATACCCACTTTATATAGCAGTATAGCACATATAAGGGACTAGAAATATTAACCTTGAATGAAGGATTAACCATTCGCACAAATTTCAAGATTCCTTGACGCCTTGACTCCCTCAATGTCTTGTGAAGTTTTTTCTAGACAAGTGAAAAGCGTCAAATATATTCAAATATTTGTTTTACACATAGAAAATGACAGAACATGAATAAAAACATACCTCAGCTGAGGAAAATGTGCCCAGATTCACATCTGTTGGAGCACATTCACGACTGAAATAACTCCTCCTTTTAATCACATCGAAGCAGCCAGTAATTCCACGGGTTTTGGGTGGTAAAATACCATCATACCACGGTATCTGATATAAAGTTGATAATAAATTATAAGCATGTATGAATAAGACAAATAGTAAAATCAGTAGCTCTGAATTTTGTAGAACAAAAAAAAAACTTTACCTCTCGAGGTCCTTTCAAACGTTTTACCAGCATATTCAGTTTAATTTTGTATATTTCGATCTCTACTTAAAGCTGCTGAACATCATTAACAAGAAGAGAAGGGCTAGAATCACCCTTCCACAGTGATAACTTAGCTAATAAGAACTCCAAATGTTTAACTATCCACAAATTTACTGTTATGAAGTCCTGTAAGTAGCTGCCTTCGAATACTTTGACCGATTCTCCATTTATTTTTGTAGATAGATTTTCTTTGACTCAAGATTGGCATTGATGGTTTCAAAATCGCATATCTTATTCTTCAATAGTTTTGTCACTTCAGTTATGCCATGCTCATTTTCATCCTGCACATATAACAGATATGAGTTCATCTCCACACATAACAAATAAAGATTTCAATCACTCCTATCCAATGTACTGATGGAGTTTGTGGAATCACCACAATAAGTGTGTCTTCGATGGTGCACATGTTTTAGGAGCCTAGTGTGTTGGAGGTGTGTGTGGTGTTGTAAGGGTTTTTATCCCTTTTTTCTTAATATAATGATATGCAGCAGGCCATGAATAGCATAAGATGGATAGATGACATTAACAGAGCTCTCACTATCAAGTTCATAGTTGAATATTTACAGATCTGGACATTATTTTCAGAAGCTAAGGGGTGGGGAGGTGGTGGATGGGGGGAGACTTACAATCAACCGCGCAATTCCTTTTCCAGCCTTGAGATAGAGCTCAATTAAAACCTGCAGACAAGTACTATAGTTAAAAAATGGTACATTAAGAAAAATATAAAACATATGTAAAGAAATATGGCAAAAGGGCACAAGAGAAGAATACAAAACTTACCTTGACTTCACAAGTGGACTGCAACCAGACTCTGATATCTTCTGCTAAAACTTTCAACCTCCTGGTCATCCCACCCAAGCCATCATTTACTTTTCCTCTACTGGCCTGACACCAAAAGCAAACACGCAAAATCAGAAAACTTCCTATCACTAAACAACTAAAAGAGAAGGACAATTCCCCACCTCCACACCAGCCAAAAGCGCATTCACCGCCAGGTGCAATTTATGAATAGCTAACTGTTCAAAACTAATCCCTTCTTCTAGTAACAAACCATAACTTGAGACTGAAAAGGTAGGTAAAAAATGACCAGGACAATCATAGAGAACAAGCTTTATCTTGCCAGGTGTGTGAGAAACACCAGTCGCCTTCTCATCACCAACCAAAGCATTTATAGTTGAACTCTTTCCAACACTTGGATAGCCAACAAATCCAACAACTACACGCTTAGCCACTGAAGAAACAGAATCTGAAGAACTGGCTTTCGGATCATCTACAGCAGTTGAGGTCCTTCTCTGAGCTACAATAGATTCTGCCTCAGCTTGCAGCTTCATCAACAGTTCATCTCTACCATATATCTTGGTATCCAAATCAAGTGAAGCAGATTCTTCTTCAGAGTATCCACTTAACTTCTTGCCTTCTAATGTGGCAGTGGCAGCCTTAGCCGACCAGAACACGTAGAGAATATCATGTGCCTTAAAATAATCAGCCCATCTCTTCCTGCATTAAACAAATGTAAAATGACGTCACTGCTAAGGCAATAAAGGTAGTACACAATCAAGTCATATGAACAACATGCAGACCTGATATTTAACGGCAACAGATCAGCCTTGTTAACAAGGAGCATTGTTCTCTTGTGCTCATCAATTTCCTTTGCATATGCTAGTACACAGAAAGCCATGCTAGAAGTCAAAAATAAGGCAGCACAATGACCAACAAAAGACATAAGGTGTGAAATCAGTGTAAATACTATCTTCCAGAATAATCTACATTTCAAGGAAATAAGTCTCAATGCAGAACAAAGAAAAGGGTAAAACCAAGACATCCTAGCTATCAGAGAAATGCAGTTTTATTACAATAAACATGGTTATCATTTGCAAGCAGCAAACTGATGTTCAAAGAGAAAAATATCTGGGAAAAGGGCTTCGTTCACTTGTTTCTTCATCATTCACAAAGGAAACCAGCTTGCTTCTGCTAGATTAAAGGGAAAGGTAGAAAGCAACATTCTAGTTGGATAGCTATTGCAAAGCAAAGGATAAGAATGAAGAGCGCATGAATAAGGCTGATGGAGCAAATTTACTAGTACTGTGCAGTTGGGCAGAGTATAACACTGAACAAACAGCAAGTCAGGAAAGTCTCCATAATTTTGGATGGTTTACAAGCTTACACCAAAAACCATGAATGCAATACCTCAAGATCTGGGCAGTGGGAGAGTAACGGATCTCGTGCATCAGCTACCAAAAGCAACTTCATAAAAGAAAAGAAAATAACAGTCAGTGTATGGATGGTTCAGCATGAGAACTCAGACAGAGAGATTTCACTCACAAAATCACAGCTCTTGAGGACTTTCCAGAGTTGCTTCCAGGTGTCAAAGCAGGTGTCAATGTTCTTCCAAGAGGGTGTAGGCAAATTTTGACGTCTCGTTAATCTGCAAAAAGAATGTTGTCATGAGCTCATAATTAATAGACTTCATACCCAAAGCATTTAATTGACAAAGTAGCGATGGTATGTATGAAGCACTAGATGTCAGATTTCACAATATACTTACGCACTGTTCTACCTAAACAACGGGAACATGAGGTTGTCACAAATTCAGAGAAAATCTGGAAATTATTGCAAAAACTAACCTGGGTAAGCTGAATTTGTGCTGATGCGTGCCCATTTCATTGGCTGAAGTAGTCAGACTACATGATATCTGTTCCCAATCTGCCTCAGAGTCTGTTACACCAGGAGGGAGTTCATAGTGTGGGATTTTACCATCAATATAATCCTTCAGTATCTGTTGGGCAGCCTTGGACTCATCCAGCAGACCGGCTTGGCTGACAAGCCCACGAGAAGCACAGTAGGCCCACAACAGCTCAGCAGCAGTTGGCGGCCGAGACTGAGGTTCATATGGCTTTGGCAAGGTGATTTTGTAAATCTGCTCAATGATATCCCTTGGGACACGATCTGCCACCACTTGAATAGCTTCCCGGTACTTTGTCATCCTAGTGATCGGCAAGACACCACATGCCACCATCTCATGACTTGAGCTTGAAAAGGATGGGAAGACCAGACCAGGGCAATCACACAGAGTGAGCTCTTCAGAGATTATCAGTGTCTGGAAATGTTTTGTCTTGCCAGGTGTGTGAGTAACACCAGTCCTCTTCTCCCCAACCATTTATTGTTGAACTCTTTCCAACATTTGGATAACCAACAAATCCAACAACTACATGCTTAGCCACTGAAGAAACAGAATCTGAAGAACTGGCTTCCTGATCATCTACAGAAGTTGAGGTCCTTCTCTGAGCTACAATAGATTCTGCCTCAGCTTGCAGCTTCATCAACAGTTCATCTCTACCATATATCTTGGTATCCAAATCAAGTGAAGCAGATTCTTCTTCAGAGTATCCACTTAACTTCTTGCCTTCTAATGTGGCAGTGGCAGCCTTAGCCGACCAGAACACGTAGAGAATATCATGTGCCTTAAAATAATCAGCCCATCTCTTCCTGCATTAAACAAATGTAAAATGACGTCACTGCTAAGGCAATAAAGGTAGTACACAATCAAGTCATATGAACAACATGCAGACCTGATATTTAACGGCAACAGATCAGCCTTGTTAACAAGGAGCATTGTTCTCTTGTGCTCATCAATTTCCTTTGCATATGCCTAGTACACACACAGAAAGCCATGTAACAACTTATACAACTCAAAAAAAAGGAAGGATGCTCACCAACAAAAAAAACATAATGTGCTACATAAAAAGATTGGTGTAAGGCGGTCTCCTAAGAAGGCACAGCAAAGATTCCAGAAAGACATACTTTACATTTCTAGAAAATTAAAGTCACAGCAGGTTTACCCTATTGCAGAACAAAACAAAGAGCGATCGATATATGCTTGCTTTGAAAGGAATGTAATTCTGGGGATCATGCCTTTCATTGCAATCTGGAAGCAAATAATATTCGAAGTGACGATATCTAGGAAAGCTCAATTCCAGTTGTTTTTTCATGATACAAAAACTGGCTTGTTTCTTCCAGAAATATAGGAAGAGCAGTTTCCAGTCATACAGTTACTGAGTAAAATGGATAAGGCAAATGCTAAGACAACTCTGAATAACTCGTGAATAAAGCTTCTGTAACCATTTTGGTTGTGCAACATCTAAGGAATTTTAAGAAGTGACAAGTGATCATTATCTTGTTTGATTTAAGAGTTATATACCATTTGGAAGCTATAAAATTTATACCAAAATCAAGAAAAGCAGTACCTCAAGATCAGGGCAGCGGTAGAATAATGGATCTCGAGCATCCACTACCATAACCAACTTCATGGAAGAAAAAAAACGACAGTCAGCAATTTGCACAAGAAAGATGTTACTCTACAATCAGAATAGCACGAACATGACTGAGCACAGCAGAGTAGCATACTTCCAGGGAAATTATACATAAGCGCCGACAAATAGACTGACGTTTGCAAGCTACACATCAAATCTGTGCAAGTTACTTTCTTAGAGTAGTTTAACAAATGGTCCGGTATGAGCACACACTGAGACAAAAGGATGTGTAAGGCAACCAATGAAAATACCAAATCCATAATGCTGACATTGACAATTCAGGTCAAGCATAAGTGATAGCTTACCAAATCACTGCATTTAAGAACTCTCCATAGCTGTCTCCAGATGTCAATATTCTTCTCGTATGGGGTAAAGACAAGATGATAGTCCTGCTCCAATCTGCAGAGGACATTGCTAATCAGACTTACATACTCTAAGCATTAAATTGAAGAAATGGTGCTTCAAAATGCACTAAACACTCCATGTCACATTTTACAACCAATACATAATGTTATGTCTAAGAATGTAAAGCCACATATTTAGATTATCCAGATGATAAATCTGTGACATAAAAGGTCCAAAAATAACCAAGCAATATACACGATAATGTCATCTTAAATCTCATAGGTTCACTTAACCCATGCAATACATAGCCCCCCAAACATGTACTTAAAGGGCGTACCCAGTGCAGAGAGCTCCCACTCTGTGCGGGGTCTGGGAAAGGGTGTCAGTAGCAAGCCTTACCCTCGCCTGTGCAATGCGAGGAGACTGCGACTCGAACCCGGGACCTTCCGGTCACAGGCGGTAAGACTCTACCGCTTGCACCAGGCCTCCCAAACATGTACTTCTACACGAAAATACGGTTCCACTAAACATTTCCAAGCACAAAAACAGCTGAGTAAGTAAAAGCATCTGAACCCAACCTCACAAGTTTCTTTCGCCACATCAGGAAATCCCACCGGTCATAAGCATCAAGCTCCTCACCGGTGATCTGACTATCACACGGCAATCTGCAACTGCAATCACAGACACAGGATTCCTAATCCAAGGACCAATTGCAAACAACACACAAACAGCAACGCGATCAGAAATATACTCACGGCCTAGGGACAATGGGGATGGTGGCGAGAAGCGCTTCCAGCTCCGTCCGCAGCCTCCGCCTCTCGTCGTCGTCCTCCCCCGTCGCATCCCTGTGCGTGCGCGCAACCAAACCAGCCCGATTAGGATACACAACGAGGGAACACGCAAATTTAGCAGCACCGACAGCACGAGAGGCGGGAGTTCATTTTCCCCCACGGAGGACGGCGGGGAAGGGAGGCAGGAGCTCACGGCGGGTCGATGAGGAGGTGAGTGTTGTCGGAGGAGACGGACGCCACCACAGCGAGCTGGTTGGCCCCCGCGGCCCGCTGCAGCACGGCATCCACGTCGCTGACGTCGAGCGGCATCGAGCGCGCGAAGGGAAGCGCCTCGCCCCTCTCCGTGGCTGTCGCCCCCATCGGCGCGCCCCCGAGCCTCTCGCTCTTCGCCTTCTCCTCGGCGTCCACGTCGCTGATGTCGAGCGGCATCGAGCTCGCGAAGGGAAGCGCCTCGCCCCTCTCCGTGGCTGTCGCCCCCATCGGCGCGCCCCCGAGCCCCTCGCTCTTCGCCTTCTCCTCGCCGCCCGCCATCACTTCGCGCCCGCGGCCGAACCCCTGCGAGACGCCAGCAGTGAGTGGGAAGCCGTACTTGATTGAAGGATTGCGGCACTAGCGAAATGAGCTCCGGACGGAAGCGTTGTACTGTCGTCCAGAGAGAAGGGGCGGGACAAGGCACGTTCCCCCAAAAATTTCCCCCGTTGTTTCTCTTTCCTCTGCTCTTTCTTCCGCACCAAGATAGACAGCCTGTTCGCTTCTGGGCAGCCTAAACCAGTCAATAAATAGTATTTTATTCTTATAAAAAATCAGTATCAGTCAGTCTAAATCAGTATCAGCATCAACTAGCGAACAGGCCTAGAGTTCTTTTCTTTCTTTTATATATATATATTTATTTGTTTTAGCTCTATACTTTTATTTGCCATGTATTTTGTGATAATAAAAAATATTCCCTAAGAGGTTGTTTGTTGCACACTTAACCACATTAATCCATATACGTTAGAGTAAATTAGGGTGGAATTTTTTTCACCCTAATTCACTCCAACAAACATGATTAAGATAGATACATGTATATATATTTTTATTTTTGCGTTTTGTTCTGCTGGTTGTCAGTGCAATGGTCATCATAGGAGCCACGCACGCCTCTACGGAGGACAGTGCAGGGGCAAATGTCTTTTGATCCTAGGTTTGTTTTCTCTCTCTCTTTTTTTTGGTGACATGGTTTGTTTTCTCCTTGATATCCGAGAATTGCTTACTTCTCGCACAGACGGAGTAATAAGTTGAATGTCACATAAATCAAGTAACAAAAAGACATCAGACACTTATGCATGTCATGCAAATACAATTGGACAACTAACGCATTATCCATCGTATTATTTTGCTTCCTTAATCGTAATTCTTCAGAATTTGAAAGAAGTTTAAACGACCTCTGACATTTAGCAGTGTGTCTATTTCACCATCTAACCTATAAAACTAGATAATTCTATCTCCTCGCCTATCAAAAATCATTTGATCTACCCATTAAGCAGTTTTAGTAGGTGGTTTTGCCTCACTGGGCCTACATGTAAGGCGTCTCTTATATCAATAATTCATAACTTTTTCATATGAAATCAAATGAAGAAAAACTTTATATCAAAACTATAAAGCTTGATTATCTACAATTTTATAGTTGATAGTTATTTTATTTGAGATCATTTAGAAGCCCAAATATTTAATAAAATATTACATGACTTCTAAATAATCTGACATGAAAATTTTTCAACGGGTACAACTTTGGTCTAGATCATTTCTCCGTCCTAAGTTGTTAAAAAAATCAAAATTCAAAATATAATAATTTAAAATAAATATTTGATCCTCAAAAAAATTATCAACTATACATTTATAGATCTCATTAAGGACTACAAGTTTGATATAGACAATGTAACATCTGAAGTCATTTGAATTTAAAAATCTAATAACTTATAAACGAATATTTGTGCATCTAAACTATCTAAAGTTGGCAACTACAAATTTATAGATCACATTTAAGGGATATAACTTTGGTATAGACAATGTCAACATATGAAGTCATGTGAAAAATTCAAAAAAAATGAATTTCAAAATCCAATAACTTAAAATGAATATTTAAGCCTATAAACTATCTCAAATAAAAATTTTGTGAACTACAAATTTATGGATCACATTATGTGCTACAATGTTGGTATAGACAATATGTCAATGTCAACATCTGAAGTCATTTGAAAAATTCAAAAAAAAAGAACTCAAAATGATCCCAAATAAAATAGTTTTCAACTACAATCTTGTAGACCGCGTCGAGCTTTATAATTTTGATACAAAGTTTGTCTTCATTTGATTTTATATATGAAAAGTTATGAATTATTTTGATATAAGAGACCACCTGACATGCATATGGGCCTACCTAGGCAAAGCCACCCACTAAAACCACCTAAGGGGTAGATCAAACGGTTGTTTATAGATAAGTAAGAGAGGTATAATACCAGGTTTTGTAGGTAAGAGGAACGTCCGTTTCAAACAAAAAAAATGGTCAGAGGAAGTCAGAGGGTTATAGACATTTTCCTTTGAATTTGAAATTGACGTACTTGAATGATTGCTATACATGTCATATATATGAATGTTGCTTTTACTTGGTATCCAAAAAAAAAATATTCGCGTCTAGTTCGTTTTCGACTCATCCTTGATTCGGTACACATTTATTCGTATTTGTAACTGAGACTATCCGTAATTCCACATCTGTATATAGATATTGATAGATATCAGTGTCAACCCTAAATCCGAGAGAAAATATGAAAACAGTACAAGGTCAGTAATATCTGTCCATATCCATTTCGATTATACCTAGTCCTCCGCTGATCGCACAGTTTGCCGTATCCGATTCGATTATCAGCCTGTTCGCTTGCTCGTAAACGATCGTAAATTTTCAGTCGGGAACAGTGTTTTTCTCTCACACCAAACCAGCCAGCAGTAAATAATCCACGATACGATACGGCCTGCCGAACAGGCTGTATACCTCTAGTCTCCACTGATCACATAGTTCGCCGGGACACAACAATGTGCACTGACGTCGGGCTTGGCCAGCAGCCGGTTGGAAATACTACAATGCTACCCAGTCAGAACTTCGAATTTCAGAATCCATTCAAACTGGTGCTAGTTCTCACTAGCATCTCAGTATCTGATTGGAGGGGCAGTCTCACAAAAAAAAAAAAAAGTGCAGGTCCCTTGAGCACACGCTAGCTGTCTAGCACATCAATTCCCAAAAGACATCATTTCTAACACGAGCATTACCACTTTGCTTGTTCTGAATTGATTAAAAAAAAAACTTCAGAATCAGGCAATTTATCGGGCACACTTCAATTTGTTGCGCATAGAACTGTGAATCCGCATGCATACCAAATTAATAAAATCCAAGATTTAACGTCATTCATAAACCACGTCCATTAAACCATTCAGGTTTAAGCATGCTCCAGTACCAGTACGGCACATGACCTTACAAAAACTTAACCAATCTGGAAGAAACTAGGTAGCACTGTAAATAAGAAGAAACAGACATCCAAATTTGAGTTCATGAGGACTCAAACCTGGGTGATAGCTAGGCTCAGTACATAACCTTATTAACCAAACAGATTCAGTAACCTTCTCAGCTGGACCACCACACATACTGAGAGTCTGAACACAACCAAAAGGGAACAGATAGCCAACAACCAGAGAACTAAGTAAATCAACCACCTGTAGAACGGTAGCAGGGGCAGGCCTATAGTGTGACCTGCCGCTGGTTTACCACCCTTGTAACTTTGTCATTACTTTGTCCACATCATAGGGGCCATGATCCGCAGCCGGATCATACCCTGCATTGTTCATGACGGTTAGGAGGGTGGTGAAGCCAGGGGCCTGGAGGCAGGCCACATTCTGGAACTGCTCTGAGACTTCATCTATGCTGTACCTGTTGCCCATCATGATCCTGAGGAGATCGGTGGGATCAGGTGATTCGAGGTTCAGGATGCTGTTGTAGGCGACCTCGCCGACGTTTTCCTCATCGTCGTTGGTTGCGACAACAGGCCAACAGAAGTCTCCTGCAGGGTTGCCTATTGGCGCCTCGCTCCCATAGGCAGACTCACCAGTGTCTTCCCCATATTCATTGGTCGCAACAACGGGCCAACAGAAGTATCCCGCAGGGGTGCCGATTGGTACCATGCTGCCGTAGGCGACCTCATCAATGTTTTCCTCGTATCCACTGGCCACGATGAGGGGCCAAAAGAAGCCGCTTGGGGCATTGCTGCTTGGCACCTCACTTCCAGAGGCCACGTCACCAACATTTTCTCCGCCATTGGTTGTGATGAAGGGATAATAGAAGCCTATTCCAGGGGTGCTGCTTTCCCCACCTTCATTGGTTGTGAAAACATACCAATAGAAACCTAATGGGGTGCTGCTTTGCGCCTCGCTGCCAACAGTGGTCACTTGCTGGTATCGATTGGTTAGGGCAGGGTTCCATTCCACCATGCTGCCTCCATTGGGCCCTTCCTGATTGTCCTTGATCGTGACAAAGCGCCCATTAGGACCTCTTGGGCGGAGCTTCTGCATCAGTACATTATAGTTACAGAGACAACAGAAAGAAAGCAGAAGAAATGCTGTATTAACATGACAGGAACAAACATAGAACCCCACTGTGGCCAAAATAGGACCCTATCCAGAATTTAAGTGGAACACACCTTGGCTTGGAGCAACCTTTGCTCCCTTGCTTGTTTGATACGAAGCCGGCGTTCACGCAGACGAAGGATAGCAGCATACTGCTTTTCACACACAAAAATTGGTTCATCACCTGGTACAATCGGTGGAAGCAGCTTCCGGCCAACAACCTACATTTCATGAAAGAGAAAATCAACAAATATTGAAGGATTTATTAGCAAGCCACAAACTGCTTTGTCAGATAGCTCTCCAACTAATATTCCTACTATTCTCTCATGATATTTACTTTGTAGATCACTCATGGCAGGATATTACTGGAGGTCATTCATTATTTTCTTATGTTATCGGCAGGTCATGCCACTGCTAAAAGAAAAGTCAATTTAAACAAACAGTCAAACCATCAATGAACCTAACTGTTACATATTATATATCACAATAAAAGGTCAAATGTGGTTAATTTCACCCTTTTCAAGAAAAGGAAATTGAAAGAATAACTTACCATTGGCTGACCAACACCCATCTCAGACGGACCATTATCATCAGACATATTCAGAATTGCAGGAGTAGAGCACTCAGATGCCTTTGTTGTGTTCCCTGGATATAAATGCCACAAATCAGCTACTATTACATGTCAATATCTGTAAAATTCATCAAGGGTCCTTAATAAGAAAGAAGTGAAGTCAGACATCAATGAATAAGATGTAAGTCAGATCATAGCCTATTAGTGCAGGGAATTCTCAAGAAACAGCTAAGTAATTCAATTCCTACTAGTAATTCAGATACAGGTCGTATTTGAAGCAGCCACAGAGAAACCAATGGCCATTGGATATGCAGAGTAGATATTGCTCGCCATGCATCTTGACTATATCCCATAGAATTCCAAAGAGATGAATACACGACATATCATATACTAATCATCGGTTAGAAAGTACATCCCACGTGGATTTTTCCATATCTACTATTGGATCATGCATAAATCATTCTTTCCATTTTCACCATGGCCTGTGCAAAAAGTATAAATATGTACTAAAGTTGGATATTAGAGCATCCTCACCTTGAGACATCGATGAAGTAACAGGTTCAAATCCGACCCATGAAGCTCACCGCTACCTCGCTGAGATAGATCATAGTTGTTGCATAATCATCAGGAGCATGCAAAGGGGTGGGTGGCATCATGTAGTATTAGAACAAAGAGATCGAATTAAAAACTCAGAAGGAACACAACATATTAAGTTGAAGTATGGGGGTTGTCAAGGATCAGATAGAGTCCAGAAAGTAGAAACCAAGAACAAGGCCTGGCTATGCAACATAGCAGAACAATAGCCACACACATCAGAAACAGAAGATATCCAAGATACATGAAAGGAGGATAAGAAAACAAATACCTTTCCTGGTGAAAGAGCAACAAGGAGATTATGAGGCAACTGAGAGAGGACACTTGAGCGGCGGATATAAATAGCCAGCAGGTGCATAGGAGCGGTAACGTTCGCCTTCTAAAAAAATGATATCCAAGATATAATGCAGATTCGCTCCTTAATGTGGAAGGACATCATATCATCAGTATATAAATGCCACGGGTAGAACACCGTCATATCATCAGAATATAAATGTTATGGCTAGAATGAAGCTGTATCCTGTATTGCTGTGGCAAGAGAACTTCTGCATGGCTGATTAAATGCTAGAGCCTAGAATACAAGATATGCATTAATAGATGGAAAGTTATTAACAAAATCATGTTTTTGCGGCGTTGTGGTATCATGTATTCTGGGGTACACCTGGACACCTAGGTGCCTTCTAGGCGACGCCTAGGCGATATGGCGTAACTAAAACCTTGTGCCGTCCTGTGGCACCTCGGGTACGCCTCAACGCCTAGGCAATGATTCAAAAATCATGCTGGTCAAATCACACCAAAGTGACAAATACCCATTTATTGTATCCAACAATGTACTGAAACTTAACTGAGTAGTATACAATGAATTCAGTATTTGGCACAGAAGTTGGTTTAATTAAAAAAAAACTGAAATAGTCATTACCGATTTTACTGAGCCTACAAAATGGAACATACTGAAGTATAATGTTTTCAGTTGACTTTTGACTTGTCTAATATTCTTTTATAAACTTTTTGGATTGTCATATGTAAGTGTTATTACAATGTATGTGCTCTGTTTAATAGCCACTGTGTCATCATTTAAGCTATAGCTATCGGCTAATGGCAAAACATCAATTCCTACTACTAGGTCCATTGGTGCTACGTTTGTATGTTGTAGGTACATTACAATGGAACTCAATTACCATTCTGTTTCATGTAAATTTGCAAATTAATATTAAGAGGCACCATACCTAGGTCCAGAAACTCCAGATACGTTTGCTGTGTGAATATGTCATACCATCACATTCTAGCTGGATTGTGTAATCATTAACGTAAGAAATTATCTATTCTCACTTCATCATACAACCTGAAGTCTATATTTGAAAATTAAAATAGCATGAATGTCAACTATTTCACAGTTTTACATGCACCTAAAGCTAACCCTTTTCCTGTTGGAGAAGCTTCCAAAGAAAGTTGATAACTTCATTCTGGGCAAATATAGTATCCTAAAACCATAGATAACAAAATCTAAGGCATACGTTATTAAACCACATAAACCTTTCAAAATGTTCATTGCTCGATTTTGTTTATTTCCTAACACTCCGAAGAAAAAATAACAAGTGGGATTCTACAGATGACGGAAGACCTCCCATCACTCCATGCAGGCAATCATTCTCCAATGCTTAATATACCAAACTTTTGCTAGTAGTGCTGACAAGTAAATACCCATGTTCAACAAGGAACTTGTCTTCATTCCATCAGGGACAAACTTCTGGCCAACACTCTCACGGTGCAACTGGTCAGCACAACACGCCAAAGAAGCGGTTGGCTGAGCCAGCCCGGGTTCGAGTCACGGCACCATCTTCTTAAGACGAAAATCAGGGCGTCTCTCCCCCTGGTCGAGCCTTTTTTTTTTCAGGGACAAACTTCTGGTAACTTAAGGTTTTCCAGACCTCTTATTATCACCCTCCTTTGTTTCACTCGCAACTCCTACAAACGAAACTACAGGATGCACCTCAATTTAAGTGATTTGTCACTTATTTACGCTAATCCTTCATTGGCATGGAAACACCCTAGTTGTTAATTAACTGCAACCAATATTTTCACTGTTGTATGGTGCCACACCCATGAATCCTCCCCGATGTTCATCTCAATGAGCAATGTTACCTGTACCCAACCATTCTACTCTTATTCCTGTCAAACAACAATGACAAATGACAACTTCGCTTGTTTGTGGCATCCTTAGTTGAGGATCAAGTGACCATGCTACTCGGTGACCACTACAAGTACCACCATGTTCCTCACGCGAGCTATTTTTACAGCATCTACTGTCCATCACTATCACCAGTCACTCATTCGTAATCGTAACAAACAACAACACACTCAGGCCATTGCAATCGTAACAAACTGCTTGAGAAATTGGATCTATGATGATTACAAGCAGAACTAAAATTTCCAACATAAAAACAAGTCATCAAGAAGCCTTAAACACCAAGGTACGGTATGGTTCCTAAATTGCCTGTTTGTTTTCTTATGAACCGCTTGGCAATACGTGTTTTCTTTGCATAATTGTTCCTTCCTGGCGTTCTTCTGAGACGTTTCCTTGACTTCAATCAAGTTGGCACTTACAAGTTACGTTTCATTGCATACATGAAAACAAGACCCTTTAACATGTCACTGATCTTCATTGACAACCGCAAAAACCACTCTGGTTCCGTCATAGGGCAGCTCCAGATCAACTGACAGGTCAATATACAGCGCGGAGACTTAATACCATACAGCCTTTTTCAGTTGTCAAGAGTTACAGAGAAACCAATATCATGCAAATGCCCAGAATGATGCAGAAAAGTGCTGATACAGTAAAATCTAAGTTCTCGGCTAACCTTGCAAATTTCCTCCATTGGACCATTGATCGAGGCAGGATCACCATTTGGTGGTGGTAATCACATCCGTGATCATCCAAGCATTCCATGGCAGATAGTCTGCAAGAAACAACCCCAAAGACACTATTCATATATTCATCCAACAACGTGGCACGAAAACGCGTCGCAATGCGAAACAGATGACAAGTGAACGGCTCACTACCATGGATACCGGAGACCCCTTGCCGCATCCGCCATTCCTCCTTATCCACCTAGGAAATCCCAAGAGCACGATAGCGCGCTGATCAGGCGCCAGGCAGGTGATGAGCTCCCGCACGCTCTCCGCACCGCCGGCCGCCGGCCATACCCTCTCCGCACCCTGACCAGCTCGCAGCCCATCCACGAACAACTTGTCACCTCCCGCCGCCGCCGCCTCCGCCACCAAGGCGGTAGCAGAAGGCCCTGACCCGAGCATTGGCGGGGAGTTGGCGCGCAAAGCCCTAGCCGGGGTCGACTATTGAACGGAGGTGGGCGAAGACGGAGACGGCGAAGCGCCGCCGGCGGACGAAGGTGAGGCTGCAGGTGGATCAAACGCCGGTCCGAATTTTGTAAAATGGCCCCTCATTTTGTCGCAACTATTCATCGTGGTCCAAATATTTGTAAATTAGTCCTCAGATATTTTCATATAAGTCCCTAATTGAGTAATTGGATTGCCATGGGAGAGAGAAGCAAAGCACGGCAAATTGGCACGCAAGTGTTCTAGCCGGATTTTACTCTAGTTTTCTACATGTCAAAATGCCAAATGATGGAGGATTGTATTCGCTCGTCTTGCATTTTGCACATTTGCTCACTTTTTCTATTCTGAAACCTTGGTTATGCAAGAACACAAGAGTATCAGCGACAAAAAAGTGGATAATTCTGATCATGCGACTGTCGTTGCAAATCAAGCACGAAAACACCATTCAGTTTTTAGCTGAGTTCCCATTCCATTTAGATCAAGAACTAATTTCCAAAGATCGGTCATAACTAACATTCTTGCAGATTTGCCATTTCCAAGCTTCAAACAGAATTCCTCCTGGCGATGAGAAACAACTCCAGAGGAGCTTTTTGAAATTCAACCACCATGAAAAATGGGTTTCGGTGATTTGCCATCCCACAACGGACGCTTCACCATGTTGCCATTATGAAACACGACCTACTCACTACGATGCCATCTGATGAGTTTGGAACCTTTTTCTTCCTCTTTTGTCCATGTCCCTTTCACCGGAGCTCGCACGGACAGAACAGAGGGGCACATCGAGCAGGCTGCTGCTGTTTCTCCGAGCGCCGAGCGAGGAGCAAGCGGGCGCGCTCTACCACGGCGGCCCACCTCTCCCACGGCTAGCTCTCCCATGATGCGCCTCTCTCCGCACGCTTCCTCCCCCCTGCGCGCTGTCCTCTCCAGGCGTGCGCGCGCCCTGCCTTCCATGGTTGGCCTTGGGGGTACTGAGTACCTGCTGTTCTCCATGGCCAGCCTTGGGTGCGTCGCTGTCGTGCTGTACTCCATGGCCGGCGTGGGGGACGGCGACGGGGAGGCGTTGCAGTCACGCCGCCAAGGTGAGCAGGGGCCGGCCATGGTGTGCGGGGCAGGCGGGTGACGCTGGGCGTGGGGGTGCTCGGCGTGGGGGCATGGGGAGGCGGGTGGGTGTGGGGAGCTCGCCGTGCTCGGAGAAGATGAGCGCTAGTTGAAGAAGAGCGCTCGTTCCGTTTTGCCCGACACCGGCGTCTGGCCCGAGCGGCGCAGCCTGTCGGACAGGAACCTGCCGCCCGTCCCCGCGCGCTGGCGCGGCGGCTGCGACGCCGGGCCGGGGTTCCCGGCCTCGTCCTGCGACAGGAAGCTGGTGGGTGCGCGGTTCTTCTCGCAGGGCCACGGCGCGCACTTTAGCGCCGCGGCCGTCGCGTCCAACGGCTCCGTCGAGTTCATGTCGCCCCGTGACGCGGACGGCCACGGCACGCACACCGCCACGACCGCCGCGGGCAGCGTCGCGTACGACGCCAGCATGGAGGGCTACGCGTCCGGGGTCGCCAAGGGCGTCGCGCCAAAGGCCAGGGTGGCCGCCTACAAGGTCTGCTGGAAGGGCGCCGGCTGCATGGACTCCGACATCCTCGCGGGCTTCGACCGCGCCGTCGCCGATGGCGTCGACGTCATCTCCGTTTCAATCGGCGGCGGCAGCGGTGTCACGGCTCCGTTCTACCTCGACCCGATCGCGATCGGCGCGTACGGTGCAGTCTCCCGGGGAGTGTTCGTGGCCACCTCTGCCGGAAACGAAGGGCCGACCTCCATGTCAGTGACCAACCTCGCCCCGTGGCTAGCCACCGTTGGCGCCGGCACCATCGACCGTAATTTCCCCGCTGAAATCGTGCTGGGCAACGGCAGACGCTTGTCAGGTGTGTCCCTGTACTCCGGGAAGCCTCTAGCCAATTCATCTCTGTCTCTGTACTACCCTGGGAGGACTGGCGGGCTCTCCGCTTCGCTGTGCATGGAGAACTCCATCGACCCTTCACTGGTGAAAGGCAAGATCGTCGTCTGCGACCGCGGCAGCAGCCCGCGTGTGGCCAAGGGAATGGTCGTCAAGGAAGCTGGTGGCGCGGCGATGGTTCTTACTAATGGAGAGGCCAACGGCAAGGGGCTGGTTGGAGACGCCCACGTCCTCCCTGCTTGCGCGGTGGGCGAGAAGGAGGGCGACACGGTCAAAGCGTATGCTGCAAACGCCTCCAACCGGACGGCGACAATTAGCTTCGGGGGCACGGTCATCGCCGTCAAGCCGGCACCCGTGGTGGCCTCCTTCTCGGCGCGTGGACCCAACGGGCTCGTCCCGGAAATTCTCAAGCCAGACTTCATCGCGCCGGGCGTCAACATCCTCGCCGCGTGGACGGGCGCCACGGGCCCGACCGGCCTGGAGGGCGATGCCCGCCGCACGGAGTTCAACATCCTGTCCGGGACGTCCATGGCGTGCCCGCACGCGAGCGACGCCGCCAAGGTGAGCAGGGGCCGGCCATGGCGTGCGGGGCAGGCGGGTGACGCTGGGCGTGGGGGTGCTCGGCGTGGGGGCATGGGGAGGCGGGTGGGTGTGGGGAGCTCGCCGTGCTCGGAGAAGATGAGCGCTCATTCCATTTTGCGACGCCTCCGTTCCGTCCGAGCAGCATCCTGTGAAACAAAAAGGAAAGGGACAGGGGCAGAAGAGAAAGAAAAAAGAGTCACAAAGCTCTCCAATGGCATTTTGACATGGTGGCCATGTTTCATAATGGCGATCCAGCGAAACTCCGTTGCGAGATGGTATTTTGATGAAGCCCACTTCCCATAATGGTCGAATTCCAAAAAGCCCACTCCAGAGCCATGGCGCAAGAGAGCATGAGACATGCATAAGGATGGCAATGGATCGGGTTTGGGGCGGATATCCGCGGGTTTCGGGTTCTGCGGGTTCAGGTTTAGGGATGATTTTTCACCCACGGTTTTCGAGTTCGGGGCCCCGAAACCAATCGGGTTCGGTTTCGGGTTTGGTTTTCCACCCGTGGATATCCGATGGATATCCGAAATAAATCATTTGGAATTAAAACTCATGTTTTATAATATACTAATAATAATTTGTTTACTTAGATTATTAAATTTATTTAAAGTTGACTCATGAAAATATTTATTATTTGTTGCGTCTTGTTTATACATGTGAATGTGTATATATATCCGCGGGTTTTGGGTATCCATTCGGGTTTCGGGTATCCGTTCGGGTTTTGAGTATCCGCGGGTTTGGTTTTGGTGATGAATTTCCACCCGAATCGGTTTTCGAGGCGGATTCGGGTTTTGATTTCAAGTTTCGGTTTTAGATGCACGGAGACTCCACCCGATCCGAACCCGACCCGTTACCATCCTTAGACATGCAACAGCAACAAAATACAAACCAAGCCCGAGTTTCATTACATTACGGTTACATTACTGAGTTCAAGTTTTCAGCACACCACAAAAGTACGAATCAAGTCCACACAAGCTTCAAGCACACTACAATTCATCACCAACAAAGCCGTAGTTCTTGACGCTTAACAGACTCCACACATAGCACAGTTCCAGTACCTCTGAAACTTCAGACGAGCCCGAAGTATCAGGCTTTATTATTCAGAGAGCTAAGGTGAAACCATTTAGAAGTTGGTTGGTCGATAGTACAACCAACTAGGTTTTTTTTTAGGCAAAGGATGTTCCACCCACCACCACAGGATCCCAGAAACTAGGTTTCAGAGTTTCTAGGAGAATTAGGCGGGACGAGTGGAGCGCTCAACAATGCCTTCAGCCAAGAATGATTTGCCTACCGGGAGCCAAACGATGGGAGGGACAATCCCTGACCCTGGAGCTGGAAACTGCCAGCAGTCACCAGCTCCTAGCATTTGGCTGTCCGGCAACCCCTCTAGTCATGCTTTCAGGAGGTCGCAGCAGACTTCAGAGGCTGCTGCCCACTTGAAGGGGTTACCGACGACCCCATGATCGCCGTCCATGATGCTCGGGAGCGGGGTGAAGAAGGGCGTACGGAGGTGATCCAAGCTGTGGTAGTGATCCATGTCTTCACGATCGTACATGCTTGACACCTCCGAACCCGACAAGCTGGAGACGCTGCTTGGGTTGCCCAGGTCTGACTGCTGGATCTCTGAACTTGGAGACACCACCTGGCGCATAAGGGGGTTGCTGAACGTTGCCTTGCTGCCTCCACCAGCATCCTTCCCGTTGGATTGTTTCTTTGTGTTCAGGAAACGTCCACCAGAGCCTCGTGGGCGACGCAGTGCATGCTGATGGCGTGACTCATGAAGATATGGCTGCATCATGAAGGCAGTAACATGAATGTAGTGGTAGAAGACAACAGAAGGCATGTCATGGTGATACAGCATCATTCAGTCAAAGGTGACACTTAAGGATTTCAGTTCATAGTTTGAGATGTGAGAGAGTGATTCATGGAGATATGGATGCACCATCAGATGCAAGACGACAGAAGATATGATGCATGGCATGGTGATATAGCATCATTCAGTCATACGTGACAATTAAGTAGTTCAATTAATAGCTTTAGATATGAGAGCATGACTCATAGAGACAGCTGACTGCATAAATGCTACTAAGACAACAGAAGATTTGTTGCATGGCATGGTGATATAGCATCAGTAAAAAGTGACAATTAAGGAGTTCAATTAATAGTTTTGAGATGTGCAAGATACCTTTCTGGCTTTGACCAGCCTATTTTCCCTCTCTGCTTTGGCACGGGCACGGCGTCGACGCATAATAGCGTCATATTGCTTAGCATTCACATAAATTGGTGCTTCTGTTGGCATATTCAGTGGTATAAGCATACGACCTCCAGGCTGCATACCTCCAGGCTGCATCCACAAACATAAATGCTGGAAGATAAGCAATAAGATCTACTCATAAATATTCTACGGATTTCCTACTTGAAAAGGGAAGCATCAAACAAAGATATCTCCTTTCTTCTATATCCTCATTAATTAGGATGCAATCCATGGAAAAGATATTGCTTCAGCATAGCATTTATAAAGAAATCTCACCAGACTATAGCTATATTATATCTGCTCATTTAAGGACAGACATTTATTCCCTGGGTTACATTGTATTCCTTTTATTTTTTTATGGTATAATATCCCTTTCTACATCCTCATTAATCATAATGCAATCCATGGAAAAGATATGGCTTCAGCCCTGTATTTATAAAGAAAATCTCACCAGATTATAGCTATTATTACAACTGCTCATCCAACTATAGTACATTTGTTCTATGGGTTACATTGTATTTCTTTTATTTTTTTCATGGTAGAATACTATATTAGCCTATTATTTTTATTTATTTAAGAAATAGATAGGCAGTAGAAGGTAAGTTTACAGTACATTTAAGGTACAGGTGAATTCCGTGTTCATTAAACAATACACACAGCATTAAAAACAGTTTGAGAAAGAGAAGGAAAAACTGAAAAGAACTATCACATAAATCGCTGAAAATGTGGAATCGACCACTGAAATGAGTTCTGCTTTTTACATATATCATATATGTATTACCATATTAGTTTTGTGGTATATTGGTATATTACCACAACAACAAAATCAGCCAAACAAATTTCATATATGTCTGACCCAAAACCAACAGAACATACCGTTGCCCCCATTGGATAAGGAGAAAGCAGGCCATAGTGTTGGTCAGCATAAGAATTATCAGCAGAAATCTAACACCACAGAAAATCAGTCAGCAGTCAGCAGCTGAGAGTGAAGATGCATTTTGAATTCTGAAGACAGGGAAAATGCACTACAATTTTAATCACAAAGAGGTAAATGGACAATCATACCATTGATTGACCAAGGCCCAACTCAAAACGACCATTGTATATTGCAAATGGTGATTGCAAAGCAACAGTGGCAGAGTGCTCAGAACCTTTCTTCCCTTTACCTGAAACCAAATGCCACAAAACATAGAAGCACTCAGGAATGGTCCTTGTACTTTAAAACGGAAGTAAAGTATGAATGCATCAACATTCAAGTTGCCATAGCCAAGGAACTGTTCAAGCAAAACTGATACTTCCGATAACTAAGAAAAGAAACCTATTTAGTATCATCAACAATTAAATGACAGTACATATGAAAGAACATCATCTATGAGTTCCTGAACCGATGACACTGTAATTTGTGGTGTTCGATTAGCAATACCAGGGCCTGTTTGTATCCTATCCAACATGAACCTCAGCAGTTTTTGGTGTCAGTGTATTCAAAACTTGGACAGCACCAACACACTAGCAAAAGGCAGTTGTTTGGCTTGTGACCCTGACAATTCGTTGCCATTGGCAAAATATGGGATGGAAAATTAATGTTTGCATAGCAACCTTAACAACACTTGCTAAAATTGTTAGTGTGACATATATCATTTTGGAGGCTGTGTGTGTGGTGCGATGTTATCAAATTGATCAGCCATGGCACCGATCATCCCAACTAATCAGGATTAGTCATGATTGATCGTGACTAATCTTGTTTTGTGTGTTGATCTGCAAGTGAATAAGCTGATAACCATGGCACCGATCAGCCCGACTAATCGCGACTAAGTTATTTGGGCGACAAATTAGATATACATCTTGACTTGTGGGATGTGGAGGTGTGTGTGTGTGTTGTTGTTGCCTCCTGCCTCCTCTCACTCACAGCCCTAGGGGCAGCAGCAGCGAGGGCGCTCTTCCTATCGCCGCCACGGCACCACGTTGTCACCGAGAGCAAAAAGTATCCAGCTAAATAAGGTCTTGTTTTGTGTGTTGAACTGCAAGGAATATAATGTATCTTCTTGGTGTGTAACCTTATTGCAAATCAGATAAACTCCAGGATTCAAAATCATTTGAAGTTTGCTAAAGCAAAGACAAATAATCCAACCAACAGCAGCATGCCCGTCGGGATTATTTTGTCTGCTCCATGGTGTGGCACAGTGAACCAAACCAAATAAATGGCGTGTGCGCGGTGTGCAAGTATAAGATGGGAGCCTCTCCGGTATCTTCGCGACGTCTACTTCGACTTCCAGCGGCTGATGGCTTCTAAAAAGAGGATCAAGTTAGTGGCTAGGAGCCGGCTCACATTAAGGGTGTACGAGACAAATATAGTTCCTTAATTATACATCTATAGGGAGATAAAAATGTCTGGGATTTTAAGCAAGCAAACATATTTCCTTGCCTCCTTAATTCTCACGCACATAGCAAACACATGATTCACCTCGCCCTCCCTCTTCCATATACTCCGGTAGTTGTTTCTAAGGGTCACACCAGCATTTGAAGTTTGGAATGAGAGAAATTCAACAGCAGCATCATATTTGTTTAATAAAAGAGGATCAAGTTTGAATATTTGTATGGCAAACCTATCAAAGATTTTGGTTTCATACCAGGTGCCTGTCATATAACAGAAACCATATGTATGCTACTTATGGCATGTACATCAAACTTACAGCAAGTCAGCAACCATACCAAGTATTGGTGTGTATTAAGAAAGCACCAAGGAACTTACAGCATGTATGCTCCTACTTCTCTGAATCTAACGCATTAGTCTGTGAAGAAAATCTAAGTGCAGCATATCATGATTATTGGGGAAGAAGAGTTCATCGCTCTTTTCCCATTTTAGCAACTACCAACCGTTGCACACAAGGACAAGTCAAATTTAGAAAAACAAACAGGGAGTATCCACCCTTGTACCAGGTCCTATAAATAGATGAAATCATGGAATCTTTCTATTTGGCATGATGGATGCCACCATGCTCCTCTTGTCCTAGCCTCTTAGGTAGCGACAGGTATGGATATTTGCCACACTCCTACAACACCTGCTTTCAGTCATGTCAACTACAGATAATCTTTGCTAAATATCAACACAAAATTATGCCTAATGTGCTTCATGGATTTGAGATAGGTAGTGGGAACAAACACTTAGTTCTAAACCATATTTTTGCATACCGAAACGCCCCTAGCTATGAAATAAGGAGAGCAAACAAATACTGCTAGATTCGTACTCGAAATCTAGATTACTGCAATCTGAATCTTATAGTGCGTCCCTCACATCCCTGAAGCCAAATAATTTCAGCAGATTAAACTAGACCGCTAGTCCCTGCCATGTTCTTGCATAATTTTACTTGCACACTACTGTACAAGCACACACAGGGACAGAAGCAAATCCTCACCTTGATGAGCCACGGAGAGGTTGAGGAGCTCAGGGAGGCCCCTCTCCGGCTGCTGCTGCGCCACAGGAGCCTTGAGCGACGGCACGGGAGGATCCAGCGGTCCCTGGAGGACCTGGAAGCGGCCATCCCGGCAGTGGTCCTCCGGCGACAGGGCGGCCACCGGCCTCCCCAGGCCCAACGGCTCGCCGCACAGCATCGGGGCCGCCGTCGGCCCTGCCCACCACGGCAACGGCGCTCCGCTGGCAGCGGCGTGGCCGAACCCGGCCCCCTCGTGGGTGCTCCTGAAGCTCATCATCTTGCTGGTGGTGCTGCTGGCGGAAGTGTTCTGCTCCGTCTGACGACGTTGACGAGGGATGTGGCTGGCGGAGCACCTAACCGAACCACCAGCTGCTACAATGAAGAGCACCCACCAAAAAAAAAAAAAAAAAAAGTGGAGTGAGCATAGCAAGCACCGCACCAGGTTGTGGCAAGAACAAGATGCAGGAGCATTAAAAATCAAAAAAAGAAAAGAGGGAGGGAAAAGAAGAACAAGATGCGGGAGGAGAGGTGAAAGTGAAACTGTAAAAAGGAATTGGAGGGTAAAAAAATGGTTTAGTGGAGATTGAAGCAGTGAGGATTAAGGATTGAGGATGGAAGAGGGAGTGTTGAAAAAGGAAAGGGGAACCATAAAGAAGCCGCATGGGGAAATGCAGAAGAGCAATGAAGGCGAGGGAAGCGCGCGGGTCAGTCAGACCAAGAACCGAGGAGACGAGACCCAACTGCTCTGCTCCAAGAAACCCATGAACCAAGGAGGCAGAAAGGGGGCAACAAAAACCATGATTTGTGATGAAAAAAATAGGAGCGCCGTAGAACTCGAATCGAAGTCATATGAATCGGGGGGAATGCAAAGATTTTGAGTTGAATTTACCCCCTCAGAATCCAGAGACCAGCACGGAGAGGAACACGGGGCTCCCTACCAGGCCTGGGGCTCCGTTTGGATTCGAGGGGCAAGAGCCCGAGCAGGAGATATCAAGAACGCGAGGGCATTCACGCACAGCAGCAGAAGCAGCAGCAGGAGGAGGAGGAGGAGGAGGAGAGCTAGAAGAATCTGAGTAGGCGCAGCAAGGCACCAAACGGGAAGGATCCAATCCAATTCCAATAGGAGGAGGAGGAAGGCAACAAGAGGCACTCACGTTTCGGTATCCCAGGCTCGCTCCCCAGCAGCAGCAGGGACAGCGGGCGGGGCCGGAACAGGACAAGAAGAACCACCGCAGCTAGCGCTGCCACTGAGCAGAGCACTGCACTGCAGCAGAGAGCAGAGAGAGAGAGATGTGTGTGACCGTGTGAGTGGCCAAGACGAGGCGGGAGGGGAGAGAGAGGACAAGACGGGACGGGGGAGGCGCGTATAAATGGGGGAAGGGGAAGGCTGACGGCGTGTTTAGTTTTATCCGTATAAATGGGGAGATTAATTAGTCCATATTTAAATACTATTACCAAATAAAAACGAACGTGCTACGTTAACTTAAAATCTAAATTCTTACGACTAAAAAGGGCTGAAGAAGGCAGCGAGCGTCACTGACACCGAGAAAAGGCACGCAGCTGGCTCCGCTGTTGTTGAGCCAGATTCTATGATAAGTCACCAAAAGTCGGGCGCCGATCGATTCGACGTTTTGTTTTATTGGGTAATAATTGTTCAAACTAATTAGGCTTAAAACGTTCGTCTCGTAAAGTACAACCAAATGCGTAATTAGTTTTTATTTAAATCAACATTTAATGAGAAAATATATAAGTTTGATGACGAGAAATCTTCTTTCATAGGCTGTCTTTAGTCGTAGGAAATACGTTCGTTTTTATTTGGCAAATAGATGGACTAATTAGGCTCGAAATCAGCGACCCAACGGGCTGACTACCTCGAGTGCGGCCGCACAAGAAGCTTTTTAGAAAAGTGGAAGTATTTTGGACAGTGCCCCAAGTTGTTAAAGCAGGAGCCACCACCGCGCACTCGGGGACGATCAATGGTGTGTGTTGGATGGTTTGTTTTCTTTGACAACCCTGCAAGTGGAAGATCCGGATGGTGTAGATGACCATCGTGTTTCCGTTGCCTGAACCCTGCCCTAAACGAGCCGGTAGTAGTGGTAGGAGAAGCAATTACTCGGCTTGTTGGTTGATTAGATTTTATGCTGATAAGGTCTGGGTAGCTTGGTTTATTATGAAAAAATGTATTAATTGACTAAACGCGTGCAGCGATGCAAACAACCTCGAGTGCGGCCGCACAAGAAGCAAGTTGAAAGTGATGGTGGCGCGTTAAAGCGGAGCCACCGCGCGCTCTCTCTAATCATGAGTGTGTTTTTTTTTTGACAAGGGCCAGGGACAGATCCGGATGGTGTAGATGGATGTGTTTGTTTGCCTGAATAGCCTAAACGGCTCGCTCGGGCTCCGAAGGTGCTCTAGCGGATGCGTAGGTGGTGGGTCTGGGTAGCTGATGTGTGGGCCCTCCAACGCGGTGCATGCAAACAATCCGACCGACCTGTCAGAGAATATCTAGGCCCTCCCTCTTTTTGTTTCAGCGAGCAAGCCTCCTGCTGTCTTGACTGATGAGCCTGAGCCAGGAGTGATGTACGTACATACGAGTGATGGTTTGTTGGCTATTTCCCTTCGTCGTCCATCGTGCATGACACGAACCCCGTACGTCAAAATTGCGACCGGAGACAGGAGAAGGCGGTCCCGGTCCGGCCCATCTCACACGACGGACATGTCTGCGCAGCGGGTAAGCAAGTTACAGTAACCTCGTACGCTGCATCATGCACGTGCACAGTACTACCGCGGACTTGCTCATGTAGGGGGCCAACCAACCAGGGTTCGTTCGGTTTACACGCTCGCAGCTCGCTCCTTGCTTTTAATTTAATTTCAATTCAACCCAACTCCCTGTCCTAAACTGGAGTACACTGGGTTTTCCCCATTTCGGTGCGTGCAATATTTATATCTTCAAATAAATTTGTTAAAAAACTAGACAAAAAGATCTTTTCAATGATACTAATTACTTAGCATAAATATTTATATATTTTAATATATAATTGCCGGCAGTCGTTTCTCGGGAAGCGAGAACGTCTTTTATTTTGGGACGGAGGGAGTATACTGGAGTACACTGGTCCCCAGGTGCGTGGTGATATTAGGCTCCGTTTAGATGCGAATTTTTTTGGCTTTTTAGTTACGGTAGTACTTTCGTTTGTATTTGGCAAAAATTGTTCAATTATGGACTATCTAGACTTAAAAGATTCGTCTCGCCAATTACGGGCAAACTGTGCAATTAATTATTCTTTTTACCTACATTTAATGCTCCATGCATGTGCCGCAAGATTTGATGTGACGGAAAATCTTGAAAATTTTTAGATTTTTGTGGGATCTAAACATGGCCTTATTGCGATGGCGGCACCACAGATACATACACCGCCTACGTTTTCAAGAGGCAATAAACTACATCTCCGATCCGACGAGGCTCCGTTCGATGGTCTGAAACTTGGCTGAAACTGATTGAAAAACGCTATTCTGGCTAAAATATTGTGAGAAAAAAAAACGTTGTTCCAGCTAAAAAAAAAAGCCGAACAAGCCAAATTTCAGACCAGCCGAACGAGGCCAATATGAAACTCTAGTCAAACTCCTTAGCTGGCGAATTTACAGGTACTCACTCAAGATGTTGGTGGCTCAAATTAATTAACCCCTTCATGTAAGCTAGATGCACTTGATTTAAGTAATACATCATACGTATGTTAGAAGAAAAAAGTTACCCTATGTTCATTGCAGCTTGAGTGAAAATGGCCTAAACATGTACGCATGCAACACTAGTTATTACAGTCTCTATGCCGCATATATATAGGGATCTACGTACGTATGTACTAGATTACTACGCTCACTTGGGCCCGTTTGCATGGTGTGCCTCCGGCAGCGGATCGGAGTGGACGAAGCAACATCAAACGAGTGTGTGTATATCCAGAGTGCTTAAAACTGGCTCCGCCTGCGGGGAGCACGTTCCGAAGAGCACTGCCAAGCATGTCCTAGCCGAAAATTTCAACTCCTGCATTATTATGTTTTCATTGATGAGATAATCATAACCTTTTATGCCAAAAAAAATGGCCATATACTCCTATAGTGATATAAAAGGTTGCATTGGAGTGCTTTCTAGTTAGCTAGTAGTACAACATATATTGTCGGGTTCATAAATTCGGCGTCCCCAATGGACCTGCTTCACAGCAAAAGCTCGGCCCAGCAGACAGCGTTACGAACAGCGCGCAACTCCTGGACTGGCCCAGATACCTGACAGGCCGGAAGGGCGATCCAGTCTCCAACCGAAAGGCCTAGCCAAGGAAGAACGACGCTCGCTTCCGACTCCGACCCGCCTCTTCGACCGGAAGGCCTAGGCAAGGAGAGGACGACGCTCGCTTCCGACTCCAACCCACTTTCTCCGATCGGAAGTACACCGAACCTCTGCTTACAGCTCTTCTCCGACCGGTGCGGTCGGAGCCGACTGGGAAACGACCGAACGGGGACACCCGCTCAGTAAGGACCCAAAGAATCAGGCGAAGCAAGTAAGACATGGCGCTCAAGTCAAACCGCGATACCGAGGACCGTACCCTGCATGCCTGCAAGACAATATTGTCAGGTCATGTCAGAATGGTACTTTATGACCTTCCAGACATGTCAGAATACAAACAGTGTTGTGGGTGCCGACATTTGTCCTACAGTATGGTAGGCGCCGACATTTGCCATACTAGAGGAACACGATGGAACCCACCACATGCATCTGACCATCAACAATATTGTGGGCGCCGACAAACCGTCTTGTACCCAACGGCGTGGGCAACAAGACTAGGACACACACTCTCTCTCTCTCTCTCTTGTAAGGCCACCCCCTTCGTCTATAAAAGAGGATGCGCTCTCTCCTAAAAGAGGAGGATCCGAACAACCAACGATTGATTCTAACAATTGATCTCAACACTCACTCTGATAGACTCTAGAACTCTAAAGCCACACAGAGCATACATTCCAATACTTAGTACACGTTGAAGCTCCCGTCACTTTTGGCCCTTCGGTCCAGAGTTCGATTGGACCTCTGATACCCCCATCTTATTCCCACTCATTTGTAACCCCACAGCAAACTTCGAGCACCTGGACTCAGGAATAAAGTCACCGACCGACTCAAACTGGACGTAGGGCACGTTGCCTAAACCGGTATAAACCATGTGTCATTGAGTGCTAGGCCACATCCGATTACAACATACGGTAAAACTACAAATATTTACGTGTTGATCACTTTTCGCACCGACATATATATAGTTCTCCATTCTAAATTGTGGTCGTTTTGACTTTTCGAGATGTTCCCTGAGTATCAAAATAAGTACTCATCTCGTATTTCGAGAAGACAACTACACTTTTAAGTTTGACTATCAACATTTATTATCTCTTAATAACAAGTTTATTATGAAAATGTATGATGTAATTAATATAATGATACTCAAGATGCGAGATGAACATTTATTATAGGAAGGAGATCTAGAGGCTAGAGTATGTAGCTTTTACTATGCAGTTATATAATTTATCTTTAGATACATAATAAAAATTAAATTATACATCTTAAAAAGTTAAAATGACTTACAATTTGGAGCGTAGGAGAATACTTTGACCTGCATTATAGGTAAATAAATTATTATATGGTGAAAAAAAACATTTGTTACAAATTTAGCAATACCCATCTTAGGTTATCAATATGTACAAAAAAAATTATGTATTGATAGTCAAGAGTAGAAATATTTGATTTCCGACAGACCTATTATTAGTCGAAGCTTTTAAAACAAAACCTAGCTAGAGGTCAACCTACGTTTGTGATTGACTGATTGGAGAAGAATCCTCACTCTGGGCACAGTTACGACCTCAAGGTCATCACATATTTCACCGATAACCTCATTGGCTAATAAGGATGGCAAAAATGCGTTTTTGTTTGAACAGAGTTGGTCTATCAAGTGACCATGATTCACAGCACGCAACACTAGTAATAACAAACAAAATAGGTGAGTCACTACTCAATTGTTATCAGAAGAAAAGGGACAGCTATTTACATATATATATATCAAGGGCTAGTGCTTCGGGAGTAGGATTGCTCATTCAGCTAGTGGATGCACACAAGAGGTAGAGGCTCTCCTCCACTGGCAAGGTAATATTGAAATAAGTGAAATCAGGATGAAAGATGAGTAAAGTTTCACATAAAGGATAAAAAGGAATTAAAGATAGGTAATGAGGATCAGTTTTTAGGGTAGTGAGTAGTGACGCTGTGTTGGAGTCCACATTACATTGAGCTGGCTACGTGCATGTGCATGTGAACTTCACCTCGCGAAAGGATTTGGGAAGCTTCGTTTCCCTCTACAAATGACCAAACACGGTGTGACATCAGCACGCTCATGTGTAAAACGTTTCGAATAATTCTCCTCTGATAATTTGTTAACTAAATAGAAACTTCATTAAGCATTGAACCTTTTTTTTAAATATATACTCCTTTTGATTCAAAAAACATAAATCGGCATTGTATCCAATGTTGCAATTTGACTTGACTTGTAATATTTGTAAGAGCATCTCTTGCAACACTACCTGAATGACCTCCTATCTCCAAATTGGGTAGTGGGGACAAAAATGCAACACCAGCATGCCTCTACTAGCCCTCTCAAATTTGTTGGCCTCCTATTTTCCCTCTCCCCACCACCCATTCCTGTTGCCCCACAACTCGGCTACCCAAATTCTCATTGCATCTGTTTCCTCCCATCCCGCTTGACTCCGCCTCCATGTCGAGCGCCCGATCCATTGCCTCCATGCCCAGGGGAGCCGCTATAGGGGAGGCGCCTCCATGCCGACGCCGGTCTGCCGCTGAGAACCTTCGCTGCAGGGCCTCATTCGCCGCCTCCACGTCGGATCTACAGCGGCGCCCCTCCCGACGACTCCTAACCTCATCCAGTGTCTCCCCTCCCGTCGGTGGCCCGCTACCCCGATGGCCAAGTTACACTACAGCGACGAAGAAAGGAGGATGACACATGGGTCCCACATGC